CAGGACTTAAGAAAAGGACAAACATGGCCCGAACGGGAAGGGTCTGTGAGGAGTGAGGGCTGGGAAGTGGGGGTGCCCCTGTACCAGGGAACGCTGGGTAATTAACGAACCCCAAATTGTGGGGGCAGCGCTGGCGAGGCTGGCATTGCCGTGGGGCAGGGCAAGAGCAGCGACTTGGAGAGCAGGGTTCAGGGGTCCCTGCTGCGAGGAGTGAGCCCGGGGCTTACCACGGTAAAACAAGCGATGGTGAAACGGTGCTGGGTCAGGGAGAGAAGCTGGGAGGCGCTGCCTGGGAGGGGTGCGAGCGCCCGGCTGTTTTCAGAGGGCCTGCTTGGTGGCACTGACGCAATTGGTGATCATGTGGGGAGTCACAACAGACACGAGGAGCAGCGGAGCTGTCTGTGGGCCGGGATGATTGGAGCAGGGGAACCGTAGTAATTAGTGCAATTAAGCTCTGAAAGCCCTTCCTCCTAAGTCAGCTCTCAAGTGAGGGGCGGGAGATCTGTGGCGCATGTTAGCGAGCCTGCAGCCGCCTGACAGAGCCGAGATTGGGGCAAGGCTGGCACTGAGCGAGGGTTTTCTATGTGGAGATGTGGGTTATGGGGCACCGGGAGGGTTTGCTGTGCTGGGGAGGGGGATGTGGAGAAGGGGGTGGAGAGCAGAGACCCTGCTTCATGAGAGGGGATTTCAAAAGGACCCCAGGGTGGGCAGCAGATGCTTCCATCAGCCCCGCTGCCGGGGGCTCGTCCAGGCAGGGACCCCCTGGTTGTGCCCTTGATGCCCGCGCTGGGTGCATCCTCCGCAGCTCCTCCACCTGGGCACTGCAGCAGGGGGGGCTGCTGCGGGACGGTGCGAGTGGGGCTGACCCGGTGGTCCCAGAGCGATGATCCGGGACCTCGTCCCTCTGCTCTGTGGTCGGGTGTTTCGGCAGAGGCACCCAGCCCCGTGTCCTGCCAGCGTCCTGGGCGTCACTGCTTGCGTTGTCGCTGGGTGCATCCTCCGCAGCTCCTCCACCTGGGCACTGCAGCAGGGGGGGCTGCTGCGGGACGGTGCGAGTGGGGCTGACCCGGTGGTCCCAGAGCGATGATCCGGGACCTCGTCCCTCTGCTCTGTGGTCGGGTGTTTCGGCAGAGGCACCCAGCCCCGTGTCCTGCCAGCGTCCTGGGCGTCACTGCTTGCGTTGTC